GGGGCCCTGCCTCTCCAGCTCGTACGCGCCGCTCGGCGCAGCCGCTCGTGCTGGCCCTGGGGCCGTGTTGTGAGGTGCCACTGTCAGAGGAGGAGCGTCAAGACGGCTTGGCTCCGGGGAGGCAGACCCGAGAGAACTCTGTCCCGTTTTCAGCAGCGCGTTCACTGATAAGAAGTCGTAAAAATACATCATTCCTACGAGGTGTTTCGCATCTATCTTGTGCCCGTTTTACAGACAGACTTGTGAGGCACGGGGCGGGGCAGTGGTGGTTGTAAGGCCATGCAGGAAAAGTAGCGCAAACCGCGAGAGTACGAAGCTGGCTTTCTTGCAGTTATTTCCTACGGAGGCCCACTTCATACACCAGCGAAGGAGTGTCATGTCATTGTGAACGCTGAGTCACGGGCAAAGTGCTGAAGCTGAACAGCAGAGGAGCCTGTTGTATTCCTGTCACCAAAGGACGCAGAAATGCTCTGATGACTTCGGTTTCACTCCCAGAGCTCTGCCGCTGAAATACCCGCGAGTTAAAGTGTTCTGGGCAACAACATCAAAGTAAGCCAGTGTCAAAGATGTCACTTTATTTCAAAATTCCCTCTAAATTTATCGAATCAAGTTGCTTTTACGTGGAAGCTGAGTCTATCTAGGCTAGATATATCTGTATTTTCTCGTTGTGCAGACACATTGCAATGAGACTTACATTGCAGGGAGAAGTAGACAAAACACAAAAAAGCAATGGGTCAGTTGCTTTCCCTCACACCTCATTATCTTCACACAGCCTTCAGAGGGAAACCGCAGCATACGCCATTCAGTCAATTAACTGAATCGCACTCGTATTTCTGCTCCCGTTTCTGATTAGAAGCCCAGATTGAGCTTCAGCCAGAAATTTTGCTATCTATCTGAAGGGCAAGCTTGCTTGAAGATGAGTCATGCCTGTATTTTTTTAGAATATCAATAATTCTGCAGACCCTTTCACAAATATCTGGATCTCCCTTATTGTGATGAGACAGCAAATGTCAAAGCGGCAGCTAAATGGCTAGGCCGTAGCTGTGAAAAGCAAACCCTCAAGATGACAGTGAATCACAAACTGGGAATGAGGCAGAAATGTCACACTGCTGTCAAGAGCCACGAAAAGAGTGGCACGAGTGACCTGTGAGGAAAGACTGAAATAACTCAGTCTAGAAAAGGTGAAATGGGCAAGACAGACCCTCGCAAAGAGGGAGACATACATCGTTCTGCATGACCACTGCAAAATAAGAGGAGGAGCAAGGAGATTATCCAGCAAAATATTATTGCACTTGTGAGGTGGGGACAACACTGTCATTGCCTGGGAGGATTGTATGATGTCCACTACTGGACATTTTAACAGCAGGTTGGACAAACGTCTTTCAGGAGCAGTTCAAGTTAATCCTGCCTTGAGACAAAGCACTGCGCGAAAAGCACTGAAGGTCCCTTTCACGGGAGTTTGCAGGATTTATCCTTCCAGGAGCTTTTCTGATCCACCTGCAGTGCATCAGAAAATGCAACGCTCTGTACTGCCCTACAGAGGCTGAAAGGCTGCAGCTTTTGTTAAAGCGTCTTTCAGATTCCCAGATTTTGGTTCGGGAATGTCATTACACGAGCAGACTGTTTTGCGTTGTCTCTGGCTGATTCACTGCTTCTAATGAACCGTAGAGTCACAGGTTGGAAAAGACCTCTAAGATCATCAAGTCCAAATGCAGAGTACTTGATTGCTTACTGTTTCTTGATACTCAGCTGAATCATGCCATTGCTCTTAATTATTAAATGAAGGTCCAAACCGGTGTCAGCTTTCTGCAAAGGCCAATGCGACCCTCTTTTCCAAATCATGATGAGAACAGCTTGGTTGTGACCCTTCAGTTCTAGACATCCATTGCCTCGAACTCTGACACGGTTGCCTCGGCAGCACAGTTTTCAGCTGTCCATTGCCTGGCTCTCAACGTCCCGACGTTTGCCTTGCCGTCCCCAGAATTTCCTGCAGCGTTGTCCCACTGGGGACACTGGTGTGTGCTTGGTAGTCCCTCTGAAGGAGCAGTAGGTCTCTCCCAGGCGAAGTTGCTGGCTTCTGCTCTGTGTTGTTACAGGATTTCTCAGTCGGTGGTAGAGGAGTAGAACTGAAATGTAGTTGTGATGGGAAGATGTGCTCTCACCACCAGGCTTACTGAACTCATTCTGTGACCACATGCGTGGTAATATCCTTTAAAATCGACAAAAGCACTTGCAATCATGTGCCCTCAGCCCTTCTGTGGCTTATTGTGTCCTTCCACAGCAACAGTCGTATTACAAAGTTCGTCTGGAATCATTTAGATGAAACATCCATTTATACAGTAAGAGCTCATTTAATATTATATTAACTAATATTTAACAGCTAATATTAACTAATTTTCATGCTGTGAAGATTCTACTGCCAGTAAAACTAAGTTGCCATATGCAGGAAAGTGCTAGGGAGTTTTGTTATCCAAGGTGGTGGTTTTCTGGATGTTTGGGGACTTCTATAGGGAGTTGGGAAGTTAATTCCCAGTCCTGTCTCAGCCAAAACATACAGGCCAGGTACTCTGTAAATACATATTTTACATTCTTAGACTTATTAAAAGAAACAAAAATGTCAGCCTGTGTAGCACTCTGAAGGAAGTTAGTCATAAAATCGTAAAAATATCACCTGTTCCTGTAGTGTCTTTAGGTAATTTTGGACTGCATACCCCCCCAAAAAAAAAAAGTTTTGCATAAAATCCCATGAAATCCATAGGGATTCATCATTAGGTTCATTTCTGCCTCTGGTTTCCACAGAATGTTCCTGTAAAATTTCCTTACCCCTTACTAGCTGTAGTCCGCAACGAAACACGATGACCCTTTCTTCTCGGTGAGGCTCGCTCCTTTCTCACAAGGTGATTTGAGCAGTAGTTGGGGGATGGGCTGCAGTTATTTACATTAGCCAGCTCCAGTTTCCCCAGACTGACAGAAATTCCCATGGAAGTTCTGGTTACATTAACTTTGACAGAGATGCAGGACTGTTTTTGGAAACTTTAAAAAAACCCAACTTGGGAATAGTTTTCATTTTTATTAAAAAGCAGTATCTTCATTTTGTTTATTAAAGAAATAAATCAAGGTTAGTTTCTGCTTAGTTTCAGCTGGTTTTCACAGGAGACAAAAAAAGAGAAGTCAGACAAATATTGGCCAAGCATCAACCCAGTAAGAAATCCCACAACAGCAGAAATCCCGAGGTGGATGGCAATGAAGTGAACAGCATGAGAACAGACAAGATTAAAAATGAGTACGTCCTTAGCATACTTACTTCAGGCATGGAAAATGATTTTGTGTTCTTGGAGGTTAAACACAGTCCGATGGCGAATTCTTACAGAGCCATTTGATCCAGATGACATCCCACCACATCAGTGCCTCTCTGCAGACACCTCGGTGCACAGGGTCCCTTGTTTTGTCCTCGTAGTTAGCTCTCATTTTGTGTTACAGACTATAGGCGTTTGAAAATATAAACGTTAATTTTTGCTGCATGAAGGCTTTCAACACCCCTAAAATTATCACTTTCCTTCTCCCCATGGAAACTAATGCAAAAAGTCTGAGCCTGCAATTTCAGGGGAAGTTAAGGGCACTTACACCCTCTGAGTTTTGCCCATCCCTGGAGCTCCAATATCAGATTTATTTACCTTTTGTTGAAGGAACATTTGTTTCTTCATGGCTCGTTAGCTTTTCTGCTTCATCAGTCACTTAGGTAAGCTGTCAAATGACTCACAGCTTCCGTTTTGCCAAATTCTGACTCTGTCACCTTCAGCTCATGCAGTTAAGCAATGGGCCGGGCAAGGACAAACCTCTCCAGGTTCCAGCAAGATAAAAGTCCGTTTCATTTTTTTGTCTTTCCGTTGGGATGAAGGCTGTAGCAGTTAGCTCTCTCCGCTAGATGTCCATATTTCAGCAATTTTCACTTACTAATTCAGTGACGGTAGCGGCCGGGTGCAAAATGCATAAAAGTGCTACGCTCCATTGGAAGATGTAAATACAAGATAGATTTTCATATTAGTGAAGTTGTGCACCTGGCTCGCTGTTTAAAAAGGCGCTGAATCTAGTGCAAAACACTCAAAACACACCTT